TTCTATTTAGTAAATCACTCCCATCTGCATGTTCCATTGGCAGTAATCCCCCTTTCTCTCTCCCTGGAGTGAATGCCAACAGTTGTAGAGGCCCTTTTAATGCCTCTGATCTATTTTCATAACAGAAAGGATGTAGTTTTATTATTTAATAAGGGGGGAAAGTTCTTGGAATCCGTTAACTGGAAGGGAGAGCCAGGTTTGTTTGAGTGCCATGCCCTGTAAAGATTGTGATCAGCAGCCCACTGAAGATTCCATTGCCTGTTTTGCCAGATTTGTTCCCCCTTTCAAATACTATTGTATATTATTGCCTTTGCTGGAGGAAAACGTTTGGTTTGCATTTGTTTAGCATCCCCCCCACCCCAAGTCTTTTTAGCTCCCACTCTAATAGTTTTGAAAAGTCCCTAAAAACCTGGGTCTTCTAGGTTTTGGGAGTAAGGGGGCTGTTGAGCCCTTGTTGAGTACATTTTGTACAGTGCTTGGAATTTGTGTCTGGCTATGTATAATGTTTTTTATTCTTTATAATGTAAGCCTCAGAGTCTCTTGGAGTTGGGTGGCCCCTAAGTCTAATACGTAGATTGTCATGTGTCTGATTAACGAAACACTTAAAAGGACTTTCAGGCATATTTTTCCTAAAAGCATTTATTAAGGTTACAGAGATGTCAGTACGGCATGGTGGAAATGCTTAGATCTGAGATTCTTTTCCGTTGCACATACATTCCAGGCATTTTTCCCCGCCCCTATTTTGGGGTCATGGTTCACATCTTCCAATTAACTTGGAAGATGTGATTTACTTCCAGTTTCTTTTTCCCCCGGGGCTTTCCTTATTCTCCTCCCCTTTCACTGTTGCCTGATTTAACTATAAAAATACCAGACAGTTCTGCATATTGTCAAAGCAAGAATATACAGTATTTGCAGCATTGACATAGATTTCTTAATTAATGAATGTACTGTATATGCTGCCTGTCTCACTGTCCAGAATCATCTGGATGGCTTACAATAGTGTAAAAGCATAAATATGAAAACATTAAAAGCTTTAAAATTAAAATTAACAGCAATTAAATAGAGGTTAAAACCAAAAGCAAGAGTAGGCTTTTGTCTCTCACTCAGTCAGCCACCTCCAACATTGCACACTCCCATCTGGGTCCCAAGCCAAGCAGCAGAGCCAGGTTTTAAGGCCATTTCAGAAGGCCAGAAGATTGGAGGAGGATCTCACTTCTGGAGGCAAGATGTTCCAAAGGGCAGAGTTATAGTTATCACTTTGGAGATGTAGCAGGACCAGTTTATAAAAGTTTGCATTATCATTGATTTATATTTTAGCAGGATTTCTAACAGCTGGTGCTGTAGAGTGAGGGAAGTTGCTTAACTAGTCAAAAGAAAGCCAGAAGTCATAGTTAGGTTTTAGAGATTGCTGGGATAACTGCATAGCCATGTAGTTTTTCTTTTTGAGAATACTTTGAGCTCTGCACAAACTCAGTGCTGTATTTTATAGCATATTTCAGTCTCACAAGAGTGAATTATATGGTTTAACCATGCTTTAAATAAATAATGCTACTTTGGAAGAACATAAATTTGCCCCAGCTTCTCTTAACTTGTATTTGACTAGAGGATCAGAAAGAAGAGCCGAATTTTCCCTTGAAAGTTGGAGGACAATGGTATATAGCTGGTTACGGTAGCTTTCCTGAACTTGGTATCTTCCGGATCTGTGGCCTGAGGAATTCTAGGAGCTGTGATTTCACCATATCTGAAGGGAGAGGGGAAGAAAAAAGATAGTTCCTCTATAAAGATCAGAATGACACGAGTTAGTACAATACATGTGTTGATTTCTAGTTAACATTGTTTCAGTGATTCTTGTGGTTTGCTTAACATTATTACCTGATTCTTCCTATTTTAGTCATTCCAATTTTTGTTTCTGAACAGGTTATGGGAGCTCCCCACGTTCAACCTCCGCTGGGACTGCAAAAGGCCGCATTTCCTTTCTGGAGCAAGTCTTCAAGGAGCTGGGCCTTCAGAAGCCCATTTTGATAAGCTCATCTATGAGTGGCCGATATTCCATTCCATTTCTCTTTTCTAGTGGAGAACGGTTGAAGGGCTTTGTGTCTATTGCACCAGTGGGTACAAAAGATTTTACAGCTCAACAATATCAACAGGTCGAGGTAAGAGATCTATGGATTGGAAAAACGATTTATATTTATTTGCCTGGAAGATGACATCTGTCTTCCCAAAGAGGAAAAAAAGAAGTATCTCGGTGAATCTAAGTGGATCCTCCATTTTAAAGACACATGATTTCAGAAAAATACATATATTCATTTCAAGTAAATACAATTAATTTCATTTAATATAAACTTTTATTCCATTAAATTACTGTGGTTATTTTCCATATATTTAACACTTTTTTCCTAACATCCCAAGGAAATAGTGACTCTTAGGTATTAACTTTTGGGGCTCTGTAAATTACATATATTTTGCAGCAACATGTGTCTCCCTGGGAATGCAGACACCACAGTCCCTGGTCTAGAGTTTATTAAGAATAGATGATCTTGGTTTAAATTTTCCTTGCCATTTTAGTAAGGAAGTGGAAAAGGGGGATGAATGGAACCTTTCAAGGACACATATCGGGTGTAGAATCTGATGTCTGGCAGATCAGGGCTTTTTATACAAACTCATAGGGGCTCATAATATAGATGTCTTATGTATGTTGAAATGCAGAAATAGGAAAGAGAGACAGAACTTGGAGAAAGTTGTGTGGACCATTGTGTCAGTACAGTATAGACCAATCTTTCTCAAATTTTATAGCTTGAAGAAATCTTTGAAGTAATTTCAGGCCTCAGGAAACTTTTGCATGATCTCTTATAAAACCCCACTTAAGAGAGGCTGCTCTAGACCCTTGCTGGGTTTTTACAGTTCTCCTTATGACAGATATAGCAAGTATTTGTTAATGGTCCACGTAGGATTGCAGTACTCCAAATGTCATTTCATCACCAATCGCTACCATTGATTTTTTTCTCTTCCTGCCATGGCACCTGCCCTTTGGAGCATCAGGCCTCCTGAGATTAGATTGTCCCTGTTGGCCTTTCATAAGGTCTTGAAAACTTGCCTTTGTGCCTGAGAACAAGCATGGGTTAGACTTTGTCTCCTGGTTGTATGGATGATACGTTGGACTGTGCCTGACTGCTGTGTGTTTTTATTTTTGTTTTCTATTTCTTATTTTTGTTTATTGTAAGCTGCCTAGAGCGTAAAAGTAAAGATGGTGACTATATGCATGAAATACACATTTCCACCATAATACCCTTTGAAGCTCCTGATGTTCTGTCCCTCACTGAGTAGCAAGAGTAACTAGTAGAAGGACCATAATAATTGAAGATTCCACCCTCTAGAATTGATTCCTAGAATACTTGGCCCTCTTTATGTGCTGTATTAATGTCAGCCTTGTGAGCACTGCAGACAAGAAGCACACCCAGAAATACTAGCTCTTCTATTGTAAAGTTACATTAGCAGAATATTGAAAGTCTGAAAGTACAGTACGTCTCTCCTCCCTTCTTTTGCCAGTCCAAGAAACTAGGGAAGGTGCCTTCTGAGATGTTAGCCACACCCTCATTCCTTCCGTGGACTTAGCTACTACTTGTCTAATCACTGGATAGTCTGCAGTTCTTCCTCCTCTCTCCTAAGATCATTCCCATACAGTAGTCCCATCATATCCAGATTCCAATCACTGCCTCAGGTGTTTCCTCTGGAAAGGGTGTGAAGATATGTTATGCTGATGTATTTCACAGGGCCTTTTTGCAAGTTGTATGGAAAAGAATGGCAATTGTTTAGCAATGATTGGGAAGTAATGTTAGTATTCATTTGCATAATCCTTGTGGACCATTGCTCATTTATTTATGTTTTAATGTTTCTAGACACCAACATTGGTAATTTATGGACAGCGTGATACTGACCTGGGTGTACAGTCTCTGCAAAGTCTTCAGCAGATTCCCAGATCCAGAGTTGTCATGTTGTTGGGTGCCGGCCATGCCTGCTATCTCGATAAGCCTCAGGAGTTCCACAAAGCGCTGCTGAGCTTCCTCAATGAATTGAAATGACTGTGGTGTTCCTTCTTAGTTGCTCTGCTGAATCCCATTTTCCTTTTCCCAGGGAAAAAGTGAAGACTGAATGTCTGTTATGTAATCTGGATGATGTGCATATAAATCTGGTTCTTCATACTTCAAGGGCTACAGAGCTGTTTGACTGTCGATGGAAGAATTTATCTCTACTTGTTTGTGGGGTTACTTCTTTTACAAGCGCTCAAGGTTATAATTGCCAGAATCCTACAAACTGGCAGAAGTATTGGATCGAGGACATACAGAGCAGGGTAGCATTTTCATATGTTTGTGAAGAGACTGAAGAACTTGATCTGCACATCACTATTCAATTTTCATTCCTTTTAAGAGCTGATCTCTCCAGAGAAAGGTACAACGTCAACTCCAGTATCTTATTTCAGGAACCTGGGCCACAGATATTATCTCAAGATTAATATTTTTTTTCCATTAACCACCCCCTACTACTTTTAGTGTGCATATTTCTGTTTTGAGGGTGTTTTCTCGTACTTTTTATCTTAATTCTACTGTCGTGATTTGGAAGGTCTGCTTTACTTTTTTCAGCAGCAGAAGGAAACCAAATTGACATGCTTGTCCTTGCTGGGAGCAGGTAATATTTGAAATTGCCCAAAAGAAATTTGGGAAATTTGAAGAAAAACTTTGGAAAAGAAATGACACAATTTTAAGTGTATATTTTCTTGTAACTTTAATGACCACTGTAATGCATTGGTTGCCCAACTATAACATGTTGACTCTCTATGAATGAAGTATTTAGTTAGAATGTGTCATCCAGACTCTCACCTGAGGCAGGAGAATATGGAAGACATAAGGACAATGAGTCAACTTTTCAAAGAAGCATAGTCCACATGTTAGGAGAGGGATGATTTGTCCTACTCATTAGGTCATACGTTATCTAGGATTTTGAGTATTGCAAACGTTTAATAAATTGTTTATACTGGTATTTGGTGTATGTGTGTATGTACAAATATACAATGCTAGACAGAGACTATGCTAGACATCAAACTGTGAAGTCATAGTTGACAGCATAGAAAATTGACCTGTTAAAGCCTTATGGAATAAGCTTCTATGTTGATAGATATTTTAAATATAATCTATTATAAGAACTATGCCCATAATTACCTACCTCCCTATAATCTCATTTTGTATTTTCCAAACAATTTTTCAACTTTAATGCACAGACGTCTAGTATGACTTTGAATTTTCACCCAATTACTAATTCCCTCTACATATGTTCAGGTGAGTTTCTTTATATATTCTGTTCCATGCTGAATTATTAGGATATTTCCAACTATTAGATGAATAAGAAAAGGTGATAATTCATTCTCTTCCATGATAAATGAAGCTAAGAACTTCTGTTCTCTTGTGGTTTCAAAACAGAGTTATGAATTTATTAGAAGAGATAACACTTTCGTCTAAACAATTCTGGTATTCAGAAACTTCTAAGCAATGATATTTAAGGAAGTGTGAGGGTTTTGTAGCTTATCTTGAGTGATAGTTTTAGAGTGGAACAGAAAGTTTGTAAATATACATTTCTTCTAGGTACCTTTTGAAACTAAATGTTAAGAGTGAAAATACCTGATATATTCTATTGCTTTTGTAGAAATTAGCTGGCTATATTTTAAGGTTCTCATTTAATGACATGCGTTTGCACTTTCATTTTATCCAGACCCATCTTTTATTGGTCAGAATTATAAGTGCTCGTGAGTGAGAGTGCAGTTAAAAGAAGGTACTGTAGGTGACCTGCGTCACATGTTTGGTGTCTCTGCTGCTTAGTTATAGGGTAACAGGGAAAAGAGTGGGCTTATGCTTTAGTTCCCTTTTTCATAGACATGAATTAATATTGGAAAGCATGTTAACATTTTAAAGCAGCATTCCTTGGCCTGGTGCTCAAATGATTTTCAGCTAATTGGATACTATGGCAGCATCCAGCCCATTGTAAGGCACTGAGTTGGGGAGGCTGACCTACAGTACAATAATACAAAATCCAGAGGGAGGTTAAATTGCACGGTTAGATGCCAAAGATAATTATTGAAAGGCTAGTTAGGTAATAATTATCTGCATACAATGCAGCACATACAAAGTCCAACTTACATTTTGTATGCAATAGAAGTTGTTTTTAGAATAATTTTCCTTTTGGCCCAGATTACTAAACAGTTAAGGATTATATTTATGTATGTGGAATACTAGGGGATCTCTGCAGAATGCAAAATTTTATTATTGATATTTTATTGAATACACACATCCACATTCTCTTAGGGTTTACAAAATATTTCAAATAATTTGCTTCAAAAGCTATAGCTGGTTATTGCTCTCTCTCTCTCTCTCTCATTAAAAGTACATCTGCTAATCTTTTACTTTACTATTGGAAAAGCCATGTTACACACTACTAAATGTGTGGGGTATCTGTTAAGAATGCTAATGCTGGTTGGCCTTGTCGCCTATGTGCATGCTGCATATTAACTACTCTTTGCTGCAAAATCAAAATAAATTGGATCCAAAATATAAATTTAATATAATATGAAGCTTAGTTGTCACAATGATTTGAGAGGTGGAAAGCATCGCTCTTTATTCTTCATGTGAAATCCGATAGAAAAGAAGCCTCTCACGTGATACAATGAGCGAGAACCTCACTGCTGAGTACCTTGAAACATCTTCTATGAAACCTTTAGATTTGTATAAAAGCTCCATGTCTATTTTAATTTTAACTTTTTGCAAATCCCTGGGAATATGACATATATACCTGCCATTCCTTACAGTTTCAGGATAAGCAGTGTGATTAAAAGTGCAGAAAGGAAATAAATAGTAAGCCAAAATATTTTTTTCGAAAGGTGTGTGATTAGAAATCAGGAAATATAACTAATTATAGTTATAATAATTAGAATGAATTCTAGTTATACCATCTCTGTTTGCAAACCATTCCTGCTTCCATCACTTCATACATTGCCTTTTCATCTTCACACATTTCATCTTTTTCTATTTGAGTATATCACCCACTTCTTTCTTTAGTCTTCCTCTGAGTATTTGTCTTTTATTTGATCCTCTCTGTATGATTCAACTACCTTAACATTGTTTCATTTTGGTAACTCACTTTTGTATTCTGCTCACTTCCACTGAATAGCTATTCATTCTTGATCTTATCTCTTATTTTACCACATTTAAGTACTGCATTCCCATTTTATATAACTTATTTTTAAGTTTATTATTTATTTTATTTATAAAATTTTAGGCCACCCATTTTACCTCAAAGTAATTTTGGGCAGCTTACAATCATTAAAAGGTTCTCTGTTAATTTCAGAATCAATCAATCAGTCTGTCTAGTAGAGTGGGCAGATATATATCTCGATAAACAGTCATTTTTGGGTTTTTTTGGACAAGCATTAATTCCTTGCAACACTTTTGTTTTTAATTCCAGTCATTTAGCCTCCATTCAGAATCTCCCATTACTCTTACATCCTTCATTGTCTCAGTCTCTCATCTTCAATCAATCAATCACACTTTGACATTTATATTAATTCCTTTGGCACATCCAGGTATGAAGATTTCTGCTTAAACCATGTATTTTTAACAAAGAGTGTATGGTATTATCTAAGCAGATAGTTGTCACTATTTCCATTCATTCCTAGGTCTCCATATACTTCAATTATTTCTTCTTTATTCTCTTGGCACCTAAATTCTTCCCCCTCTTCTCCAACTGCATTCATTAAAAGTTTTGATTTTTTTTTTAAAATGCCCCTTCCAGAAGTTCAATAGGTAAGGCTGGGTAAGATTTTTGCCTGTTATACAAAGAAGATATACTGTGACCCACCAACCTGGAGGTAGCTGCAGTGTAACTGATAAATACTCAGGATATCCCAGAACATGACTAGAGGTAATTATAAGAATGCATGTAATAAAGTAACTGGAAACTTTGGGGGATTCATGATGATTCAACTAGTATAAAAGTTAATAAAACAAGTGCATTTATGCCTAAAGTATCAGTATGTTCTGTATATTTTTCATGATACTGTTTTTGTTGCATTTAAACTATTGCTGCTATGAGCACTGCAATACTAGGTCTTTTCAGGAGGAAAAAGGGGTACAGGGAGAGGAATCTTCTAGGCCACATATTTGTACAAATTCTTGTTCTTGTCTGACTTTTAATTTTAATGGTGACACTCCCTGGAACAAATACAATTTACTTATTTTGAAATTGTCACCAAGTTTGGATATCAAATTCTTTCATCAGTATGCCAGTGAATTCTTGAAATTAAATTTAGTTAGTTTTCAAAGGAACAGACTGAAACACATTGACTATAAAATGCACACATCTATGTTGATACAAGAAATCACCTCCCAACTTATTTGGTTTTTGCAAAGTTTCCAGCAAAATATATTAACTTGTTTCATTGTTGTTCAATTACTTCTTACTCTTCAGTTGCTTCTGACTCAATATTTGGTCAGCAGTCAACTTTGGCTTTTCATTTCAAAGGTGTAAAAAGAATATTTTGTATCCTTATATTACTTTGTTCGTGAATGGTACTTGTTGTAGTCAAAGTCACCTTAAGCAGTTCAGCAACTTTTTCTTAAAACAATATGAAATTGCCCTTTAAAATAATGGGCAATTATTTAAAGGGCTCAATTAGAAACAGCTAGAATTAGATACTTTTAAAAAAATAAAATAGGCATTTGTTTAGCAAAATGAACAAAAATTAATTAGACCTTGGTAAAAGCATGAAAGCCAGTTTGATTTCTAGCCTGGCACTAGTTATGAGTTCTAGTTCCCCCTTAGACACTGGGTAACCTTGTATCGTTCACTTTCTTTCAGCCCTAGAAAGCAGCCAATGGCAAACCACTTCTGAAATCTTCCCAAGAGAACTTGCAGGGTCTAGTCCAGGTTGTCACCAGAACTTAACACAACGCAACAGAACTCAGAAGCACAACACCCCCCACCCACCCCCAGACATATAGTAACTATAATTATAATCTGAATGGTTCAAATTACAACAAAAAGCACAAAGTAACGCTTTTCCTAGTGTGGAGTCATCCATATTAGGGTCCCATACTTTGACAACAATTTGGAAAAAAGACCTCATGTGGGCAGGTATTCTGTACTTTGTGCTTTTTGTGTTCTGTTACTTTGTGTTTTTTGTTGTAATTTGAGCCATTCAAATACAGAATACCTCTCTGGTATTCTATATGTGCAAAACAAACAAAAAGAGATGCTGTTTCTTGAATCAAATAATTAAAGCAGCATATT